AGCTGGGAAGTAACAGAGCTAGCTCAAGCTAAGAAGCTAAGCTAACATGCTTCCCCATCAGCACACTGCAGTCACATTTTACGTTTCTAAGGTAAGCGGACATGAAACTATTCAGCAAAACTATAAATAATAATCTAAGTTATTGAGTTTTTAGCATAATACTTCAGAATCTTAAAATCCCTTAACGTTTGTATGCAATGTGCTAAATGCAACACTGGAATCAAGCAAATATTAATATGTTTGCATGACATTAGTTATTTATATTTTGCTATCACTTAATTATACGTTTAATACATTTAAGTTAAGCTAAGGTGCATGTGATGGTAGCTAGTTAGTGCTCTTACCTGTGAGGCCTCCTCCAAACAGCATTATAACCAGACTGTATCATTACAACTATAAGTACCAGTTCTAGATCCTTGACTTTAGACAAACAATTCAAAAGACAAAATGTATTTAAAGACCAATCTTTATTTGAAGGTGCCTCTTAACCTGGGATATTAGTTATACAGTAATAGTATTGACAATCTAAAAAAACTGAGCAACTCAACAGTCAACTTTATATTTCTTATTGTCTAAAGCATTTATTATTTTCATTTTCCCCTCATATTCAGTGTGGACGGATTGAGACAGCGTGGTGTCCAGAGAGCTGCAGAGACTTCAGGGAGAAACCTCCGTGTGATGGACGTCCTGTCTGTTGGTTTGGCCGGAGAGGACTGAGGGTCTTTCCTCAGCGAGGAGGACCAGGCCTGATGGAGGAGCCCATGCATAGCTGATACCACCTGATCAGGCCTAGTCTGTCACTTTATTTGACTAAATGTGTTTACTTATACATTTAATAGGTTTACACCTTCTGTCCATATGTGCTTTTTTATTTAAAACATGTTTGATTAACTTTTGGTTCAGATTTCAATAAATTGAATTTGTATTTGCACTCCTTTTGTCCATTATTCTTACTGAAAATGTTAGATTACACATTCACATCCGACTGAAGATTGGCCCCATTTATTTGCGTTGCAAACTCTGCGGTACAAGGTACATGTTGTGAAGCTCATAAAGTGAGGCAAATAGAATTAATCAGCTGATGGAGTGTAGATGTGGAAATAGGTGCATTCGATCAGCTGACTTCACAATAAAAGTAGTTTCTTAGTGAATGTCCTGTACTGGTCTTAACATCTCATAACAATAGCTTTTAATTTTCCTATTGGATGTTCTTCTTGACCCTCAGAGAAGGAGAAAATGTTGAGTCGTGTCTTTCAGGCATGTCCTTTCCTAACAAAAATTACAGGAAACATAAAACATATTATTGCAGAACAAGTGTGTTATTTATGAAAGAGGTGTGTTTGTGTTTAGGGGCTGTAGATATAATTATTTTGTAATTGTAATGTTTTATTTTATTTCAACAGTGAGCTACAAAGACAATCAGATTATGAATGAACAGTATGAAATTCATCAACATTGAAATATATTTTATTATCAAAATAATATTTAACTGTTATCAAAACTTAGTGCAACTGTAGAAGCTTGCTCTGTTGTCTCACTGAAATCATAACTTTTACCACGTTTTTTTACAGACAATATTGAGAGATAAATAGCAGTTGTCACTAATAGCTTTGCCTTCAATACCTTAAATTAGAAAGCTGACAGTCATATTGCTTGTTAACATCTAAATGTAACCCTTTGCATGGAAAAAAACCCTCAACTTCACTGATGTGTAGGTGATCTAGTATTTAGTATTGTTTAATGGAATGTATATCAGTGTATTAAAGTCAATACTTCATTTATTTAAACCAATATCTTTCTTGATTCTTTGTACAGTATGAAAAAAGAGTATTTGTACCTGTGCTGAAGTTCACTGCTGTGAGGAGTCCAGTTCTGTCTCTCACTCTCTGGTCCATCCTGTCTGCATCACCTGGAAACTTTAAACAAACAGATATATATGTAAAGAACCATGTGTACAAACAATATAACTTATTCTCTTCTGTTGAACATGTTGGATTGTGTATTGTCCGAGTCAGGGTTCTTTTTATTTTACTGTAACTTTGGAAGTTGTGTTACCAATGCTGTTGTGTTACTGTTTATTTGATACCAATTTGGTAATGCACATTTCCTGCTGAAATACATGCATACCAAGTTACTGCGTGGCACTTTGGTTTTGATAAAACAGTGTAGTTCCACTATATAAACGTTACATTCATAATCAAACGAGACAATCTGCAAGATAATGAGCTATTTGTTGTTATTTTTAATGCTTGTCCTTCACACGTTAATCAAATAAAATAAGTACCGATACATAGCAGAACAATTGTGGCGATGTTCAGCTTAATAAGCCTTGTTCAACATAATTTATTTAGCTAATACTACAGCGGGCTGCAGGCGAACCAAGTCTGCGTTTCGCTGCATTCCTTGATCTCCAGTTATAATGCCGGACTCCGCCGCCGGCCGAAGCTAACGGAGCCGCCGGGACGCGCTAGCGAGCTAGCCCCCTGCGGCTCCGTTAGCTTCGGCCGGCGTGGACTCCGGCGGCCACCACTGGGATAATTGGGTCCCCTTTTAACATTTGCTCCCGTTTAGCATTATGGGCGTCACAGCCATATACTATAAAAGGCTGAATCATAAACTAAACTGTATATATATATATATATACACATGTATAAAGGGTTGCGTCCTTAGCTGGCTAATAAGCTACATAATAAGCTACATAACAAGCTAAACTAACAAGCACACAAACACCTGCTAACGGGATTAACATGTATAATATTATCATTTTACTCACCGAAAAAAGCTGAGAGTAGACTTCTTGGAAGGTCTGTTAGTACATTCAAGCGCACAGCACTACATTTCAATTGTCTGGTATTTGTAACAATATTCCCTAAAAGGCACAATCACCACGAACACGGCTAAAGGGTCAAGTACAGCAACTACAACTAACTAACGTTGTAGCCTAGCAGAGTGGACAAATTGCTGTTAGCTGACAGTGAGGCACGTACCTGTCCATCAAAGTGACCACGCCCTAATTTATGCAAAAACTTTAAGACCTAATATAAATAAAAGGGTCGTGTTAGAAAACAATTCACTCACAGATCCATAATCATGAAGGTGGAATCTAACTATATTCATAATAATATTTATTGGATCCATAGGTAGAAACATGTTTTTTTAGGCTGTGAAATTGGGCATTTTAACATGGGGCTCTATGGAAATTGCTCCTTTCTGCAGTCAGCGCCTATCGGCCAATATATGAACTGCAGTTTGTGGCACTTCCGCATTGGCGTCCCGGCTCTTCCCCAGAGTTTGCCGCTTGGGTTGAGATGCATGTTGCACAATGTTATTTTTGAATAAAATGTGATTTTTTTTCATTTCTTCATTTACTGTGTTTCTGTATACTCAAGCACTCTTTCTCTGCAGAAACCTCTATGTACAGAGCATAGCACATAAAAGATGAAAGTGCTTTAGATTATGCTCAGCAGTGTGTAGTTGGGTGGTCAAACAATCTAGTATTATGAATGAAGTGTGTTATATTTGGTGCAAAAGTTTGCATTTGGTAAGTGTTTATGTAGTTTTGAGTGCAGTTCTTCATTTAGCAGGAGAAATGAGGTGTTTTGCACTTTGGGTGTGGGGTTTTGTGAATTGTGTTTAGTGTTCTGAGAAACTGAGTAATTTAAAAAAAACGTGTGTTAGCAATCGAGAAAAACTGTAAGAGCTCTTAGACAAAGACTTCTTCTCAAAAATGAAGAAAGACTATTGAATATTCTAGATGTGTACATCATGTTTGTTATATTGTAACATTTTAATCTGAAAAGTCACTATAGCTGTAGCTGATTCTTATAGTGGACTAAACAAAATATATTTTATATTGAAGTATAAAGAAGCATAAACTTAAAATGCTCTAGAAATGTATCTCAAATTGTAAATGCGCTAGTTTATGTTTGACAGCTGTTTATGATATTAAAGGGTTTGCAACCATCTGTGTGCTTAATATCTGATAAAGTCATTAATTAGATATGAAGTACACATGCAGCTGCTGTTTTTTATTATGTATATTTAAGATTAAAAGTTAATATTTTAGCACTTTCATCCTGACCATTTGGCCCACCCATTACTTATTTATTGTTTTAATCTCATGTTATTCTAACCCATGGCAGAGGAAGATGTTAAGTTTGTCACTTTAATCTGTCTGTAAAAGACACGTTTTCATGTGTCTGGACAAAAAATATATATTTGTTCTGTCTTTTTCTATTCTGCAGGAAAACTTTCCAAAAACAGTTTTATTGTGAAGGTGATGGAAACTGTGTGTGACTTCAGACTAAAAAACAACTCAAAGTTAGACACAGATCCATCATTGGTGTATTGTCAGTTGAGGAAGCTGTAAAATGTCTGCAATGTACATGAAAGGATCGAGAGGATGTAGATGGATGTCCTCCGATTCTATACAGCATGAAGCTGTAAACATGTTTAAAGTATGCAGATTGTTTCCATGGAGATGTTCCTGTGCATCCAGCCAAACCTGGCAGCTGCAACGCTGCTCTCCTTGCATGGGTGAACATCACTTCAAATGCTTATAGCTCCCGAGACTTGCGGGAAGAGTGATATCCCGTACTTCACTATCTGACAGGAAGGAACAGTCCATTAGCATTCAAGATTACCAAGACCAGCACCCATCACACAACTCCCATAAACATCTCATAAACTCCTCCCTGCAGACAGCCTCCCCAGTCCCCAGATGAAGCCCTTTTAGTTAAAGAGGCCTTATTTTCCTACACTGACTCTAATTGTATTGGAAGTAGCATAAATCACCAGTTCCATGCCAGTTTGTTAGATGTTTTGAGCTTGAATGGGTCATTTGTCACGCTATCAGCAGCGCCCAAATGACTGTCTCTGTGGGCGCCGAGTTTCCAAGGAGGGCACGGAGAGTAATCTGTATTCACTGTGTGGACAGGGGATGAAGAAGATGTCTTTCTAAAACAATCAATGTCACACAAAAAAAATTGGATTATGCTATAGTCATTCAATAAATCTTTATTTTTGTTCAGTCAACAACAGCTTGTTCATAAAAAAGATCATAATATATCTCTTGAGGCATTGTTTGTATAAAATATTTGATGCTTGTTAGGAAATGAGTACCGTACGAAAAAAGCGAATCCCTTGTAAAACAATCTAAAATAAAAATAACTTAATGATTAAGTTTGATCATTCTTTCAAAACAGCTTATATGCATAGATTTATCAGTCTGAAGGCACATCAATTGTATTGCTTCTTTTAAAAGTGTTAAACTGAAAACGGTAAAGTGATAGCCTAGGTTGAGATAAAACTCAATTTATGATGCAAGAAAATCTACCATTTACACACTGGGTGTGAAAATACAAAAGATCAGCATATTCAAATTCAATGAATAACTTAAATGTCAATAATGAATTTATTTAAAAAAGTTAATTTGCCAAGACCGGAAATAAAAAACTAAAGTAAACTTCAAAGGCATTTATACATGTAACGTACAGCGTTCAGGGTATTTTTAAAGGACCAGATTGAAACTTTGTGAAGCACGCTCATTTACTTTCATGGCAACAGTCAATAAGATAGTCAATACCAGTCTCACGTTTATAGTGGGTATGGGTTGGGGTATGTAGCATGGGCAGCTTGTCTGTTAGCTTAGCATAAAGCTTGGCTCAGTGTGAAACTTCCTGTAAAACCCTAGTAGGCTATAATTGTTACACTAAGGGTTTTGTAAGCATTAAACAAACAAGTAAGCATGCTAATTAGTGAGCTTCAGTGGTGGAAGGCAGCTTTTGTTACCTTTACACAGAGCCTGGCAAGCTGTATTTTCATTTCTCCAGTCTTTATGCTAATCTAAGCTAAGCTAATTGAAGGCAGGACCTAGCTACATGTATACCTTATGCCATGCAGACGTGAGAGTGTTATCAATGTTTTCATCGCAAAAAAAGCAAATTTCTCATGTCAAACTATGCCTTTAAGGCAAAACTCGCTTCCAAAATTAACATGACGCAGTTGAAAGCATCATTACAATATTCAGTAGCCGACATGATAAACATCAAAACAAATGCATATTCTGCCTCACATTCATTAATGCCATCCAGTGTCTCTAAAACATTGTGGTTTGGGGAAATGGGTTTGATCATTACAATATTACTGAACACCATCATCAGAAACAAAAATTACTACATTTCAAACTAACAATTACATTCTGTACATTATTATTCCCTGCTCTCATATAATGCAGCTTTTCCTGCTCAGATATGGAATGCTGGTAAACATCTACTGTCGGGGAAAACAATTCATCCAGTGTCACTCCAGCAAATAAAGGCTAAATATTTCATTTCAGCATTGGTCATTCCTTTCCCTGAAGTCTCTACAACATACTGACTTTTCTTTAAAAAGAAAAAGCATCTAATGACGGTTTCATTAAAGCACAATAAATCAAAGTCTGTAGTGACCATATGTACCCAAAATCATATATTCATTTATGCGCAGTAGTACCCTCTTATGACATAGAAATACATATATTCTTCTTCGCAGCTTAAAAACAAGACATGAGCTAAATCGTGAGATAAAAACTGCTTGGAATTATTAGTGACTTGCATCAGAAACATTTCTTTCTGATAAAAATCTTGCATATACCACATGTAGATGGTCCTGCATCGGTAACCTACTGTGGCATTCCTCCTCCCACAAATGAAACTGCGCTTTCATCCTAGCCAAATCAGAGAATTAGTGAAACTTTAAAGGCGGTGTGTGTAGGTGTAGGCTTAGTGGGGGGTGTGCTCGTATGAGGGACACATGGACTTCCGCGTTTTCGGAGGCGGCGGAGGAGGCTTGCTCTCAATTTTCATTGGAAGCGGAGGAGTGAACTGTGGGGAAAGAGATAAGAGAGTTCATGTTAGGGCTTCAAAAATAAAAAACAGAATAATTTAACGTTTATACTTCATTAAGTATGCATTAGTAAGGGGGTGCTTTTTTTTCTTCAACAGGCGTACCTCGGAAGGAAACCCAAAGTTGTCAATCTCATGCGGGTGTTTCTTCGGAGGCATGGGTGGGGGTGTCCCTGGGGTGTCAATATTATTGACATCATTGTCACTGAGAAGCGATGAATAACCTACCACAGGAAAGAAAAGCATTTCAGACAGAATGCATCTGTGAATATGAATGTGTGTGTGTGTGTGTGTGTGTGTGTGTGTGTGTGTGTGTGTGTGTGTGTGTGACCTGATTAGGGCTATAGACCAGAATGTGCTTACACAAAGTAAGCAGACATGGTATTCTTCCATTTCTGTGTGCAAGGCATATTTCTAAGAGAAAAATTAAATGATGACATGCAGTGCTGTGTTTGAGAGAGCAGTAGTTTGTGGCTACATACTGGAGCTTCGTGGTGTGTGAGGCGTGTTTGGAGAGGATGGTAGCGGGCTGAGAGGGTTAGACAGGCTGAGCTGGGATGAAGCACCGTGGAACAGGGAGAGGGTAACCCGCCGGTCTCCTAATTGTAAACTCTTGGGTCTCTGCTGCTTCTCTGGAGGAGTCTGGAAAACACCATAAAACCAAAGATATAGCCAATACAGTCAAGCATGATGATGCTACTCCCAATTCACAACTGAGAAACTTTAACTGATATGATTTGGTCTACTAAACAGCAGTGGTAACTAAGTACATCTGAACCCTTTTTCCACCACCAAGTGTGTGGTCACCCAAAGGAACATTGCCGAACATATAAATAGCATCTGAATATAAGGCCTTACCTCATCTGCATCCGATTGCCTTTCCAGAAGGACCTGGGATTTACTCACGCTCCATTCCTTCCTGTTCTTTCGAGCAATCCGGTTGTCCTCCTCTGAGCGGGACAGAACCGAGGTCCTGCGGTCGCTGGGACGGGACAACAAGGAACTGCTGGTGAATAATCGGGGGCGAAGAAAGAGATGCACAAAGGTGTACAATTGTAAAGACAAACAGTGATTTGATTTGAGCAAAGACAAATATCAGTGTTTAAAGAAATCAGGGATGGCATCACAATAGGCCTAACGCAGAAACAGTTTCCACAATTTCTCTTATATTTTATGTGTGAAAAATCTAAATGCACCAAGCAATCTTATCCATCAAAACCCAGGTGTGCACAAAAACGAATCCCCTCGATCATAAAATATGGTGACTGTTTATTTAATAGCATAGGTAACATCCCTTATATATATCATGTTGTGCTGTGTGGAAGTACTCTGGCACATGCCCAATGGGAGAGATGCCACAAGAGAAGAAGAACTGAAGCAGAAGTGAAATGTAATGTAACTGTTAAATAAACTTCATAAAAAGGTATAGGTTTGTTTTTCAGAGCCTCAGTAAGCTATGCAATAGCATGCAATATCATCCAAAGGTTGTTATAGTATCAATTTAATTCACTTTATCCCTCAAATGTAATAATCAAATCATTATAATACTCCGAAACATCAAAAAAAGGACATGTTATTGCATCAAATATATGCATTTTGTTATGTTTCTTAAATGTCTCTGCATTAGACAAACCATTTGTGGACTGGGTATTTTTGTCTTATGTTAGTGCGAGTGCTCTGGACTACTCCTAACTAAGAGAAAATCAAAAATAAGAAAACATTTGAGAATCACGGGGTATCAACAAAATAAGACCAATTAGTAGTTTCAAAGAAAAATTAAGGGGTAATTAGTTCACTTCCCTGCAATCGGCCCATAGTCAGACAACAGGGGACAGTTAGACAGTTAGACAGAGGAAGCAGGGAGAGGATATGGGGACTGACTCTTGGGAGGAAATGCAGGAGGGTCCGTCTGAGGATGCGGAGCCGCTGGAGAGGCCGGAGGAGGCGTTGGAGAGGGTTGAGACAGTAGACATGCGGCGCAGGGTGGAGGACAGGATGTAGGGCATCACTACGGAGCCCACGCGACTCTTCTTCCTCTCAGTGAGAGAGCAGGGCTAGGACACACAAATGGGATTAAGCATCATCGGGGGATCTTGGCAGGGGAGGAGCACAATGACAAGCATAACTCAGGTCGCACAGGACTTGCTAAAGGAAGATTTATGGTCCTGCGCTAATATACCGTACACTCTGCTTTGAATGAGAAGCGTTTGATAGGAAGGCAAGAGGGCCAATAGCTTAAGTTGGCACCCTCTTACATTAAATTGAGTTTTCGGCTGGCAACGCACCAAGGTTATGACGCCATAATGCTTCTCCACTTTCTCCCGAAGGTCTTGGAAGCAAGTAATCAGACGGTTGTGTAAGGGCTTCAGCTGCTCCGTTGTCTTCTCCCCGTGGATACGAATCCCATCTGCCAAGAGAGGGATCTAGAGGGGAAGACGGACACTTAAGTATTCTAAAACGTGGTCCGCTTTGAGCCCAGTGTCAATGACAACGACGGTGGAAGGATTTACCTGCAGGGCGATGAGCTGTTTAAGGACCTCAATGCGCTCGTGGTCCTCTGGGTGCTCTTGGATGTAGGTGTCTATGAAGAAGGCCTATAGAGGATGAAAATTGGGCTGCTCTTTTATACAACATATTAGAATATAACTGCAAGCAACAGTGAGCAGGTTTCCACAGCATGACAAAGAGGCCGCAACAGTTCCCTCATGAATAAACCTTTGGAGCTCAGAACAGGCTTGAGGCCAGCTGGAAAACATTTTTTTTTAATATAAAATATAATATAATTTAACACTTCAAATAAGAAAGTACACATATTAGCCAATAACTAGTTGTCTATTTGCATGTATTTAAGTAGTATATTAGCTCTTTATTACTCAGCATAAAACATGTATTCATCCGTCTGCCAGACCATAAATTAAATGTAAATTCAAGAGTTGCCCCTAAATTACTTTCTTGTTACTGCTTCTCATATTAAGTTAGGAAATTGTTGTACAGTAAATATATTACGATCTTAATATGATTTCTGTAGAATGGGCTTTATAAGGTGGGAGGCTGTGGCGCAGTGGCCTAGTGCGTTGGTGTTCAGATCAGGGGAGCACAGGTTCAAACCCCACTGCAGTCAGCATGTCGTTGTGTCCCTGGGCAAGACACTTCACCCCAAATTGCTCCTGTGGGAATTTCCCACAGTATTGAGTATGTTAGTCGCTTTGGATAAAAGCGTCTAACAAGTAACATGTAATGTAATGTAATAAGGTGGTTGAACAGCATTTTTTATATGAATAAAACTAATTTTTATTAATAAAAAAACAAGGATTATCCTCTTGTGTCTAAATAAAGTAAAGTATTTTTTCCTAAAAATATGTTATTTATTCTATAGGCAAGGTCTTGCTCATAATTAATTCACAAGTACTTTAATATTGATCTGTATAGGCTTTACCAGTGTGACATTATACTGTTGAAAGGTTGTTTATGTACTCCAAGTATGTGAGCCTCTTTCCATTTGTATGGCAGGATTATATACACGATTTGTTTTATTTTGGGGGTTTTTCCGCCTTCATAAGTATAGCTGAAGAAGGGAGAGAGAGAGTACACACGCAGCAGAGGGACGCAGGTTGGATTTTAACCTTTTTATTCTGGTTGATTTAGAGTTATTTTCATACTATTAACATTTTATTTTTTGTTACATAAGAGCAGACTTTATTTATTGAATGAAAATAACTACTCAACTTTTTTAGTGAGCTGAGTATATTAAAATCATAACTCATGTACAACTGCAGCCTTTCTTACTATCAATAAGCAATAAGAAGGAATATTGAGGGAACACTCTTGATTAATGGCCTAGTAGTTGAAGAATACAATCATGCAGAATAAGGCATCAATAAGTACTTTAAAAGAACCAATATGCTACTAATAAGCATGCTAAAAGCAACTAATTAATATGTTTACCTTCATATAATGTGTTACAAAATGTACAAATGTATTTTAATGATTGTAGTTGTAGGACTTATATGTTGCAATGTTTCATAGTAGTATTTTTTTTCTCTAAATGTATTACTTTAGAGCGAACTGTGCACTAAAACCTGAACTGAAACAGCTTGACAGATACAGTGGAGTACAGAAGTACAGAAACGTTTTGTGTTGTGATTCTCTACTCTTACAAATAGTCTGTTTTACTTTTCTGTTGCATCTGTCTATCTATGCTCTCTGCTGGAAAATGTGTCTCGTTAAACTAGAAAGTCAAACCTTCTCGTAGTTGGAGAAGCCGCCCATGACCGCGGGGTCGACGATGCCGCTAAGCATCATGGAGAGCGGGTTGATGGACAGCGAGCGATCGCAGTCTTGCTGCTGCACGAGGTTACTCAGCTTCTCATTGGCCATCTCCATGGTCTCAACGGCATTCGCCAAAGGACTGATCTCCTCCTGCACACCGGGAGAATTACATGACGGGAATTTATATGTGAAATAAACTGTGAACAAAGTAGAAGGTTTGAGCGTCACGTTGGCCTCTTACCACTGTGGCAGATTTCACTTCAAACCATTTCAGAATCCCTGGGAAGCGATAGAGTGTAATGTACGTCGTCTTCTCGATCCACATGGTCTGTAAAGCAGAATAAATATCAATAACATTTTAAAGGGTGACATTTTAACATCTTTATTAATCTACAGAGTGAGGTATGAGAAAAATGATTTTTTTTAATACGTTTTATTATTTATGATTGTGATTAGACATATGGGCAAAATGCTTACAGCAAATTCATTGTCTGGGTCCTTTTCACCTTTCCTGAAGGGCCTGGAATAGCTGAACTGGTCCACTTCATTGGTTCTGTAATAGCTGCAGAAGATCAAGGAAGGACAGCGGTGAGTTAGTCTTTTGACCAGAGAACTATAAACCCCAAGGTGTTCACGAGAAGATAAATCAGCCTTTAAGTGTTCCCTCCTCACTTTAATATCTGCTCTGGAACCCCCTTGTCTTTAAACTGGCGTGGCACGGTGAGAACAGGCTTGACAGTAAAGCACTGGATGTCTGTGGAGTTCAGCTAAGGATAAAACGGGGAATAATGTTGTGAAGCAGTAAAAAGCTGAGCAGCATTGGATCAGATTACCTTTTAAAATCTGTAATTGTGAAATAAGTCTACAGACATGCTAGCAGCTCTGTCATGTGAAGGTAGGCGCAGCGGTGCTTCGGGCTAAATCTTGATGTCAGCATGCTAACATGCATAGAATAACAATGCTAACATGATGATGTTTAGCAGGTATAATGTTTACCTTTTTCACCATTTTATTGTAGCCTAACACAGATTCAACTGAGGCTGACGGCAATGCCTATAATTTTGCAAGATTAAGTCATACAACTAATTATGAAACATATTTTAAATATTGACCTGAAATCAGAGTTAGTTGAAAAGTTCCAGTTTGGTCCATTTTGAACAATTCATACTAACGAGGACATGAACGTGTATACAACATTTGTTTTGGAATAATTTAAAATAAAATTCCAAGTCAACCTCTTCGCCTTCCCTTGAGCTCTGCTGCGAACATGGCAAATTAGTTTTTTAAATCTCATTGCATATGTGTGGTTTGTAGAACACACATCTGCTAATAGTTCACATCAACATATTCATTCATTATGACAAAATACAGTATTTAGTTATACTGTACAGTATTTCATTTCACTGTTATATTGTATATTACATGTAAACAGTTTACTTATTCTTGGATTTTACTAGCACCATCATGTCACTTGCACTATTTGTTATTGAATTGATCTATTTATTTGTATGTATTAAGTCAAGTATGTGTAACATTGTTGGAGGAGCCTGGGACGTACGTTGACATTTCTGTGCATATAACAATAAAACCTTTGAATCAATATTAGGATACATTGTCCAGAGGAGTTGCAGATGTTGTCTCCAGGGGGCGCTGTGCTGGTCATGCGTGTTGCGTTGGGGAACTGAGAGAGCAGCTTGACACTGAAGTCTTCCAGCCACTCGTACTCCTTCCCCCGGTAGATGAACATCTTGTTCTGTAGCAGAACAAATTCAATGAGCAACACAACAAAAAAACTCAATAAAAAGCTAGAATTACAATTGAGCTTATTTACATAATATATGAGAAGCATCCTTGTTTAGGACTGTATTCCTTCTGACCTTGGGCTATCAACTACTCAATAACCTTCATCAAGATTATTGCATCATTACATGGTGCATGGTGTTTTCTCTAAGTCTTTAGTTATTGAAGCAGGTAATCATTTCCTTACCCTGAGGAAGGAAGGGAGTCCAAGGCCATAATATCCAACAGCAAAGTACTCTGGTTGTGGCCGCATAGCATGCATTATACTTTCATAGAAGCCGGCCTGTTTTTTCTGTGACAGAGGATAAAGAAAATGATGAAGTGCAGTACATCCACAGCATTTCATTTAGTCTCTTCATAAAAAAAGGAATGCGGGTTCTCTTGTGTGTTTTATTTAATTACGAGAATAGATTATGGGAGCACAATCATGGTGAACTACTAGCGCAGAGATAATTTATGAGTTCATTTTTCATAATAAATGCAAACTCCACAGCAACAGTTGGGTAAACAGGTTAACACACATTTATCTTCTCCATCTCCTCAAATAATTGCACTCAGACTTGTACTGAAACAACAATTCTTGTCCATTATATCTCATCAGACTTATTTTAATAACCTTAAAGAGGCATACACAACTAAATCATTTAAGCTGTTTTCATATCAGAGTATAAAGCTGCTTTTTTCAAAGGTTTTAAGGGAATTGTATTTGTAGGGCTGAATACAAATGGAATGCGTCCTCTTACCAGCAGCTGGCTCAGCTCCATGAAGTCAAACATGTGGCTCTCATGCATCTTGGCCAGCTGCTTGCCCAGCTCAATGGCCTTCTCCCACATCTGAGAAGACATGTGCATCACTCAGTGAATGTGAACACAAAATAAAAACAAAACAACACAGGGGCACAAGCCAGAGTCTGCCATCTGGTACCCACGGCTGCACTCGCGGCTTCGAGGGTAAACAGTCGATATGTGGCTGCCAGTGAGAGATTTAAATACTGTACTAACACAATAAAAAGCTTAAGTAACCTCCCCACCAGTTTCACAATGCTTGCTCAGATGGAACAATTCTGACTTTTCTTTGGCTAATGTATGCATCATGCAATAACAATAAGGACATTAGAACATGTGCATGCTCACATGCATATGAGCAGCAAACACACACCTTGCCCTTGTCCAAATAGCAAATGATCTCCTGGATGAGCCTCTCTTTCAGCTCCTGTTGGGTCCATACATGCTTCCCGTCTCCAGGTATCAGATGAGGTGCGCAGGGTTTGTCGGACCACTTCGTAAATAAGATCATCAATTAAGAATATGGTTAAAGGCATGGGAATATTAAGGGTTACACTTCTAAAATAAGAAGGGACACAAGAGCTTTTTGTTGTGTCAGATACCTCCAGTAGTTCAGCATGTAGCAGGAGAGTGTAGGAGGCCTCTGTGTAGTTCTCACAGTCCAGGTGCAAGTCTCGCAGCTTGTATAAGTACCTAGTTAAAAAGAACACATTAGTTAGACACACTACGGCCTTTGGTCCAAGATCCAGATGCTGTGTGTCTCTTTCCGACTCACCGGATGTAAATGTCCTCCCTTTTTTCTTCTTTGTAGAAATTCTTTAAGAGAAAAGAAATGTAATTGCACACTCTGAAAAACACTTCCTTCTGAGCACTTTGCAGCACAGATAATTGCTTTATGAACATGCATGAGCGGTGTTAACCCTTTCTGCAAACAGGCACAGGGCGTACCAGCACGTTGACGGTGCAGCTCATGCGGTGCTCCGGACTCTCGTCATGTGTGATGGTGCGGTACGCCAGGAGGTTCTCCAGCAGGCTGCTGAGCATCAGAGCCAGCTCCTCTCCGGACTGAGACAGGTATCTGTGGCGTCTGCAGTGCTCCAGCAATCTGCACATAAAAACAAACGACTAGTTCTAGGTTCGGAGAAAGCCAAAGCGCATTCATTTTTTATATTCTGTCCCAGAGGGGTTTCTATCTATTGATTAAGATGATGCCTATAATTCTATCACACTGTGCTGTCCTACTGGCCACTTGAGGGATGTCTCAAAAACACAATAAAAAATGCCTTTGTATTTTAACAATGTGAATTTTCTATCACAAAGAATACTCTTCTCCCCGTCTTACGTTTTCTCCAGCAGGACTTTGTACTGCTCATCCCCTCGCCCTCCTTCTACTTCCTGATCCAATTTTGTAATCAGTTCGTTCTCAAACTGCCAAGATAAAAAGGGAAATAAAAAGGCAACATCGTCATACACATCACAAATGTTGTACTTCAGTACATTTTAAACAAAGAACAACAAAGGTCTGAACTTGTTATGTAGCTTCTTACGGTTTCAAATGTGCGTCCGGGGCTGAAGTTGTGCTCACACTGCATCATATCGAAGAAGATGGGGATGGTGGCTTTCCTTATTTCGGGCTCAGGCACCAGCGTGACCTCCAGAATGGGCCCGACCATCGCTGGGATGAACTTCATTTTGTGGGGGCCTGAGGGACAATGAAGCTTTATCATGCAGAAATATCATAGTGTATAGAGAAGGCAATAAGCTGCATCTTCATATCTCAACAAACATGGGACAAATCCAATATTGTGGCAAACAAAAAAACAACACACTGTGAAACTGGACAATATAAAAATATTGTCTTGTTATTCCCCTTGCATTACCGGAAGGCACTGAATAAACACTGCCACAAACTCTGTGATAACAGCAGCGTTATCACAAAGTGCAAATTACTCACCCAGATTGTACCACATATCTCCGATCTTGAACCCAATAGTCTTCCTCATGTCTCCATATCTGCGACAAATTTAAATGATGGGACTGTTCAATTAAGTTTCCTCCATTGAAATCATATTTGTATTGAAATGTAAATGACCTCACCTGTTCAGTATCTTATTTCGTTTCTCTTGAGAGAAGGACTCCAGCTGCAGTGTCTTGTGAGTGAGGAACGCCACGGTCAAATAAAAGTAGTTATTCCACAGCTGCGAGGGGAGCAGGGTTTTCAAATATTAATACCATAATTACCTTCCCGTAACACTGGCTTCTGATTTTCTGTTAAATAAGAAATGTAACCTCTACCCAGGAGGGGGAGGACAAAGACACACCTGGAGTTGAAAATGTGCCTGATCCAGGAAGTACATGTTGAGGACGTCCGAGTACTGATTTATGGCCCTCAGGAAGACCTGCATCTGCACCAGGTTCATGCTCATCCAGTCAGCGGGGAACACGTCTCCCATCAGGTCCTTAAACATGATGAATGTCTCCATGAGAAAGTCCTGAGGAAAGCACAGGAGTAAAATCTTTATTGCAAGCGTATGCACTATGCACACCATGTCTGCTCCATTATGGTAAATTCATAATCACAATTATGTTGAGAACGCAAGGATTACATTATAATTAACCTTGAAAGTAACATTGCAAATTAAACAAAACGTGTCTTCTTTCAGTAGTTACAATTATTTTACTTTAAATATGATTTAACTTTAAAAAACGAAATAAAATTGAAAAAAATGAAATTAATATATATATATAAAAGATATTATTAATATATATATAAATTAAATTATTAATAAAAAAATAAGATCAACTACGCATTAACGTTAGTGCACTTCCACAACCACCTGCACCCAACCTGATACATATAGTATATAATAATAAATTAGACCAAAAATAAATTAGATATAATATACTGCAGGAGTGCACCTACAAGAACTACTAGAAAGGTCTTTACATGCTGCATATTGAACAGCGAAACAGGCAAAAGTGCCCTAATGTAAGGGAAAAGTGCGATGTGCTGGATTAGAAAAAGAAAAAAGGAAAAGAAAAAACTAGGGCATCATTGTGAAACGACTAATAATCGTTTTATCTCAATGATCTTGTTTTCAAAATCCTTTTTTTGATACTGAAATGTTCATTTCTTTCCCAGCACCGATACACACAGTTGCTTTGAAGAAATACAAAAAGTAAAGTCCAAACTAAGCAACTACTAAGCAAAGCAGCGCTGCCACATGTCACGAACACATGATGCACCCGCAGCATAATGGAGAGCCACTACTGACATCCTCATCATGTCAGCCCAATCCATTGCATGAAATGTCTATAATCAATATTCCCTGGAGAAGCAGTAAGTGGCTTGGGTGGTTTAATGCCTGTTATTGATGAGATGTTTCAGGACGAGATGTAGCCAGCAGGGGTGGAACCAGGACACTTACAACGATATCCTGTCTTGTCTTGAAGGTGCTGATGTAGTGGGCGTAATGCTTGTCATCCATTTGCTTCAGGATGGCCGTCATGCAGGCGAGATATTGTCCCTGCAGCGGAGGAGTAAACTATTAATCACTTGTATCACAGTGAATAATTGTTCAAAAAAAGAATAGTATTACCTGTGTGTTTTGTTATACCGCTTAAAAGATTAGTTTATTTCTGTATTTGGGTATTTTATGTGGATGTCAGTGTACTTGTTATTAAAATGCATGCTGAGGATGTATTTGTCAAGGGCATATTTCAGCTGTAACGCCGCAGTGTGTCTTACAATGAGAGGGGAGGATCTTTCCATGCTGATGACGGTGCGATTAACCCTGCGAAGAAGCCGCTCCATTATCAGCTGAACGTGCCCTCTGGTTGGACCCTGCACAGACAGAACAGCCTCAGGTACAATTACCCGCTGAAACACGGCCACACAGACACGCTGCAAATGGTTTTCAGGATCAAAGGGTCGGTTCCATCAAATTACAAAAAAAAGGGAAGAAATAACAGCCTATAATCACACTTTTTCCAAGTTTTGAAATACTTCTTTTTTGGTGCTCAGTGTTGAAAAAATACATTTCTTTCAAGTTACTGTGGATAATTTATTATTTCAAATGTTTTCCGAGAGAAAAATATTTCATTGAATATAATTGATACGAGATCAATTATTTTGGAACTTTTTTGATAACTGTTTTAGTGATATTTAAAGCAAAACATGCCACAGATGTTAATGATTACAGCCTCTGAATTGTAAGGACTTGTCGTGAATTTCAGTTCACTAAATACCATTGTGTTTTTGCCTGCTGGTCGATTAAAAGAAGAATCTGGAGATGTCGCCTCAGGCTTTCAGAGATTGTGGTTTGTCACTATTTCTGATGTTGTAAAGAAAAGCCTCGCAATGAGTTATCCTTTGTGGAAAAATATGTTGCTGCAACTTTTCAATGCTGTGAGCATCACAAACTAAATGAAATTCCCCTCCATCATTGTGGGGCAGTAGCATTACATCTCAGAGACAAATTAGGGATGCGGAGATCCATTACTCTAAATGTGTATCAGTCGGATGTGGGTCTAAATCACTATATTTGGATTTCAGGGGTAATAAGGCATAATCCAATACTCTCTTTTCTCCCAAACTCTGTCAACATCTCTCATTGAGGTATATGCTTCATTGAGTGTTTGAAAATGTTGCACAAAGTTGGATTTATAATTTAATTTGGAATGTTTGAAACACTGCTGAGCAAATAAAACAAGCTGCTTAAAGTTCTGTGTGGTAAACAGTTTGAATAAAAAGATGGAGCATTGTTGCATTACTGAGTCATGCTGTGGAATATGTATTTCTTCCTTGAGGGACGTAGAGTATTTTCTTTCACAGTTCGAGTGTGATGTTTTCAAGATCTCTGGGTTAAGAAATATGCATCCATACAAATGCATTATTAACAGCTTGGTTGTTTAAGAACGGGAAAAAGACGGCATCGATCATTATCAGTCAACAAACAAGGTTGCTATCTCTATGGAGTTTATCAGGGTAGCCAGTACCTCTTCTCCTTAGATCAGTTGTCTACTAGGGGGACATCTAGGTGCTACCAGGCTATATGGGATATAGAATTCCTCCAGCATGCTCAAGGTCTGCCCCGAGGCATTTTTTCTATGTAGATGTGCCCAGAAAACCTTTTTAAGAGGAGCCCAGATCACCTCAAGTGAGTTATTTCCGGTCACACAGCAGCAGTTTTGCTCTGACGTGGCAATGGAGATCAGAGTTTTATCCATATTTGTCATGGTGGGCTAATTTCGGCTGCTTTAACCCACCTTCTCATGCAGAGTAGCTGTCGTGTGTGCCGACCATTTAAACTCATGATCTCCGAGTGTCTAAATTGTCCTCACCACGTCTTTGCGGTCCAGGTTGTCCAACACTGTGCTGAGGAGTTGTGCGCAGGCCTCATGGTCCGGTTTACACGAGTGGTCGTCCAGCTGCCCACTCAGCTGGTCAGTAACAAGTGGCAGAAACACATCTCGACAATCTGTGAGCAGAGAAAAGACTCATTGTATCACACAGCCATTTCGTGTTAAGGGAGCTGACCTGACAAACTTGTATGTAGGTGTGATGCAGAGCAGTTTTCTTTCCTTAATCTTGTGTGAAATGTCATTATGTGCTTTTCAAGCCTCGAGGACTCCTACCTGGCTGCCTGAAAAGGTCACTCTCCACCATTTTACACAAGCAGCCCAGCTTTTGACGCACAAGCTGAGAGTCAGGAATGCTCTCAATGAACTTCGCTAGGAGAACGCTGAGAAGAGAATGAAAGAGAAGAAGTGTGTGACAATTTGTATGCTTTTCACATTTCTCATCCAGTAATTATTGCCACAGAGGACTAGTGAGCAGTACACAGGAAAGGATGATTTTAGAGCAGCAAAAATGGTTCGGGAGTAAATATGATAATTTGCACAAAGTAAGGCAATTATCATATCCTGCTGTGCAAATCCTCTGGGTAGTTACCTGAGTTCCACAGGATCAAACGCAGACTGGATGTCATTAATGATGCTGGGAAGGTATTTCAATATTGCTCCCTGAAAAAGCACAGAATCAGGTTTCATAAGGCTGCAGCACAGGGATGTTTATTTTTTTAGTTAAACAAGCTTTTTACCAGAGTTTTTCTTCACCTAATTGAGGCTGCCAACAGGGATGCCACAGTCATTTTAAAGGTAATATGTAAAAACTTTTAAAACTTGTCCATAACACATTTTCACAGCTGGATTACTGAGACTGAAAATGGCTGCATTTTGCTTTTATTTCCAAGCTACAAATGATACAATTTCAACTGTTTCCACATGATTTGCAGGTCTGCATTGCAAAAACTAAACACATATTAGAAAAAGAAAAGCACTACAGGGCACATCAACTATTCTTCTTCAACTTACTTTTATCTTCACACCCTCGTCTAGAGGTCTGTCCATGAGAGTGTTGAAAGACAGGAAAAGGGTGCGAATGGAGTTGAAGAAAGCGTCACCATCCTCACTGTTCCCGTAGAATCTGAGAGTCAAGGCCAGGCATTGCATTAAAATAATTCACTCGTATAATAGGAATACAAATGTTTAATATGAAGAGTGGATTCTTGGGTGAAAGTGTCTCTGATACCTGAGATAGAGGACCCGGGACTGGACAATAAACCTGAACAGGTATTTGAGAGCTTTGAGTGCTGCGTACAGCCTCTCGCTCAGGACGGACTCCTCTGCATGGCCCACGTAGTAGTTCAGCACCCTGGTTAGCTTCCTGAGAAAGTGAATGAGTCAGGCATCAAGGTTTGCTGCTAATTTGCGTGTGGGTGGAGAGCAAAAGACCCATTAAAAATAAACAGCTTGAAGGGGTGTACGTGATCAAAAGGTGGGAAACACAGAGAAACGACTCACATGTAGGCCAGAGTGGCACTGAAGTGCTTGTTGATGTAGGTTTCCAGGACTGGATTGAAGTGCTGGAATTTGATGTCGCCAATAAGTGTGATTATAAATACCTGGTTACAGAAAAGAGGAACACACACCATCAGAGCCAAGACCACGGTGAAAGAAGATGCATTTACTAAATTAATCTCAACCTTTTTTTAACTTGTGACCTTTTAAAGTTATCATCTCTAATTCCCCCTCCAGGCAAATAGCAATTGAATGTATGTTTCTCAACGTCACATAAATTCAACCCTTCACACAGATGAGGAGTCTGCTATCTGTGACTAGCAGATATATCATACGGTTACGTTTAATTTTAGTCTTTCATAAATCTATTTGTTTGTGAGATTTAAACTGGCAGTGGCTTACACAGCGTTTCTGGTTGTAAAGCATACATACATACATACATTTAGTGGAATTATTTGGTAGGTATGGAATAAGCCCCAGGGTTTGGTTTAAATCCCAAATAGCATCCATTGCCATATTTACTGTCAACAAATGTGCTATTTTTGCTATTTTACGTACTGAAAAGTCAGCTCTGCACTAAATGTTCAGGGTTTATTTTCATGTTGATACGTGTCGGCAGCATTTGCGTACTATAAAACGATTGGCATTCAAATTGTTGACGTACCTAATCTAGCTTGCCTGGGGTAGCCTATGTTTGAATCTCAGATATCTTAGCTCGTTTAAAACTTTATACACAGTTCACTATATGTGGATAGACATTTCAAGGTACATAAGCAAGAGTAAAAACACTTTTTTTTACGGTCTCATTAAATTAAACTCAATTTTGATGCATTTTAGTAGGTTTATGTCAGTAAATAACTTGTAGACTGTCCTGTCTTTTAAACTTCTACACCATATGGTAAACATTTTATTACCATAGCCTAAGGCCTGAAAAACTACTAACCAAGGCATCAAACACCAGCGTATCATAAGTGTCCTTCTCTGAAGTCTCCATCATGATGTTGAACAGAGCATCGAGTGTGTCCTGGAGAAACTGTGCATAAAACAGAACACTGTTAACAACATTTACAACCTGTTTCATTTCATTTCATTTCATTTCAAACCTTTATTTATCCAGGTTGTATCCCATTGAGATCATTGATCTCTTTTTCAAGGGAGACCTGTGTTAAATATAGCAACGTATTACATATTTTAAATCAGGGGAACATACTTTTACAATCTCTCCTCCCTCGACTTCCATCAGCCTCTGCAGAATCTGGTCCAGGTCCTCAGGCTTAGACCTCCAGTTCAACAGGCCAAGCAAATCCACTGGAAAAACAGACACATCATAAAACAATCAGTAAAAGCACCACGTCCTCTTTCAACGTCAGTTCAAATATAAACCTAATTTGATCTACATCCATTAACACCAACACATCAGCATTACATGACACGGCTCAGCTTCATTCATATCAATGCAATCTGGGGGACGGAGCTACTGCATCTCTATCTGATGAGGAACCTGATTCATTTCTTAAAAATGACTTGCGACAGGACTTTTTAAAAATGATATCAGAGTCGGAGCCTGGAAGATTGTGAGAAATAGAAACAGTGCCCTACGGTACCGTTCTGAGTGAGTTTAGTGGAGCAGGTGAGCGTGGCGATCTGGAAGCTGTCTTTAGTCACAGGAATCACTCCTGAATGGTGGAACGTCTTCCCTGTTTGTTTCTCCTTCTCCTCCACCTCAGCACAAGTCGCTGGCAAGGTGAGATAAACCTTTGCATCCTCCGCCTTTTTCACATCAACCTAAGAAATTCATAAAACGGGGAATGAATCATGAAGGATATTGATCGATGGAGATCTAATTTCATATTTATCGATTGAGGAGAGATTCATGCATAATCCATCTACCCACTGTCAGCTATTCAAGGCACTGATTTTTTTCTGGGAGTAATTACATCAAAACAATGTCTTGCTTATTTTAAAGTTAGGTGCGGTTTCCTAAACTTCATTAAAAACCACAATCGTGCAGAGGTACCTTATAGACGATAAGTCCATGCCTGCCATCTTTCAGCGTGGTCCCATCTCCTCTCATGAGCCGGACGAAGGCCATACCGAAGGGCTTCTCTGATTTATCCCTCGCTGAAGTACACACAGGGGCATAACATGGGAACACACTCAGCAGGAGTAAATGTATTTAACGTGGTTGCAGGATTACATGTGGGAGTTTCTTATACAAATAAGTCACTCACAGTCCTGGGAGGATCGGTGTCGAAACATCACCCTCAGGTGACAGCGGCAGACGTCTTCAATGGGAATTGTCACCTTGCAGGAAGGAGATAAAAGTCAGGGAATTAAAGTGATTACAGGATTATACATACAGTATAGCAGAAAAGCAGTCTGCTGGGAGATTTGTATGAAGAGCACATCCTGTGTTAATATTCTCCAGGGGAAATTAGGTATTTGAAGGAGTAATTAAAGAACATGAGCTATCATGTTCGATCCCCCATAGGAGGCAGCACACGGGTCGTTGACAGAAGCTTACCTTCACCGTTTCATTCCAACAAGGCTGCTTCACCTGGTAGTAAATGACAGACTTGTACTCTGAGATGCCATCGTACCCGGCCCCAGGAAATATCACTTTCTATAGAGATGGAAGGAAGGAAATACGCTTATATGGTTATATATTACATATACAGTCCGCGATTTGAAGTCAAAACAAAATGAACATCTGAGACGGATGTTAAGTCAATAGTTTTGCACGGCAATAACCCACAAGTACCAGCCACATTTCGACCTGAGTATAGCACTAGAGGAAAAATCAAGCAATCACAACATGTTGAAGGCTGTTGAGAAATTCACTTAAAACTACAATATAAATAGCGGATCAGGAATTATGTGCTGTTTTTTATGTGCGCATGTATATTGTCTGTTTAGTTAGTGTGATAGAGAATAATGTACCGGCGTCGCATGTTCATGAATGTGTGTAACTTCCCATGAAATGATCTTCTATCTGTTATCTAGCTAAATCTGGGATAAATCAGTTCTTCTTTTTTTTAAAATGTATGTTTTTTTTGCCTTAATCTTTATTTAACAAGGATCATAGTAATACATAATTGTAGGACATTATAATCTGGGGACCACGAATGTTGGTAGAGTTAATAGGACCAAAGTGGTGGGCCGACAACCCAGCATTTTTATCTATAGAATCAAAAGTGCAACATTTACAGCAGCATTATAGTTGTTAGGTTGTGAGGAGATGGTTGCCCAGTTAGTCCCAAGAGGCTAAATCACAGAAAGAGAGAGATCAAAGATGATATGTTGCGTCCACTCGTGTATTTTACCTCGATGGAATTGCCTTCATCATCGTGCACACTGAGTATGAGCTCTACGTTTTTCGGGGTCTTCTTTTTACCGCGGTCAAACTCTCCCTGTAGCAACGTTACGTAAATATCATTCCTCACGATTCCTGAAGAAAAGACGACAACAGGTGATCAAACGGATGTGCTGAGAATTTAGAAACCCTTCTCACGCCTTTGTAAGCAATTAAAACGAACATGACCGTGGTTTATGCAGAGCAACAAAGACTTCAATCCACCTGGGAGGATGATTTCTGGGAAGCCCATTTTCCTGACGATAGCTGTGCTGCGGTCGACAAAGTGGGGGTAGTCCTTCCTGACTTGGGCGAGATCCCCCGGGAGGAGCTTCAGGGTCACAAAGAGTCCTGCCAGCAAACATGTAAAGAAATTAAATGAGGCAGATGGCAAAAAGAACCCACCCTGTAGACCCCTCACACATCATTTATTTCCCTCTAAACAGAAAAGGTCAATTTAGAGCGGCCCTCTGAAATCACAGGAGAAACACGCTGTCTGTGAACGCTTCATTTTACCCTGGCCTTTGTGATTGACCTCCCGTGTTGCAATGACTTTGTTGAAGACAGCAGTGACCGGCTCGTTCTCTCCGATGACTCGAGATGGGATAAGCGGAGACATGATGAGCTGCCGCTGACGGATGTAGGTTTCCATGGCTATCCTGGGAGAAAAGTGTCAGAACGAAGATGAGAAAGATCAGCTGCCAGCGTCTGACAAGTGACAAACAAATGGACAGAGGAGCTGCAGAGGCAGTGTGAGGCTTTCCTGATGCACCATTATCCCCCCCAGACCCCCACTTTCCTCAAAGGACTACCATAGACCCCAGACACACACAGAGTGCAAGTGCTAAACTGAGCTTTGTAGAGAACAACACTGTTTACTTATAGCTTCATTAGAAGTTAAGTTGATCAAATAGATGTTTTTAAACACAGTTCTTCTCCGTTGGCTCCGCACTGGCACAATTGTGAAATTATGACATTGTCAAATGAACAGTTAATGTTCTCCAACAGTATATGCATATCTCATTGGTTCAATACAGAATTTAAATGCACTGTATAAGCATAAATATTGTGAAGTGGTGCATCAATAAATATTAGTGACCAAATTGGATTAAATTGATTTTCTGTTTAATTTTCAGAAATGTTTCACACATGACAATTAAATTGAATTACAGTGAGAACTAGTCCAACATAATGTTCTTGTGTAACCTAAAACATTTTTAAATGTAGCTTACCGACAGCTCACATTATTGTATAATACATGGTGTGAAACTGAGTTTCCTACACCACAGTTATTGAATAACACTGATCAAACGTATTAGAGCGACAACATGTATCTTGTTAAAATAGATTTCTCTGTATTCTGTTTGGTCAGAGGGAGAGGGAGGCCTGAGTCTACATGGTACCTTTATGTCACAGACATGTAGAGGAAGGATCTATGTATTGCCAGGACATTTGTTTCTGGTATGCATGAACCAGTTTTTTTTGAAAATGTTGAATTAGCATTTATTTTTTTGTATTTTACATTTCTGTCACTTGAGGTTTCTATGAATAGGGGTTAACACAGTTAATTTGTAAGACTGACATTTGATAAATGACTAATTTCCGTTTAAAATATGAATTGTCACAGTCACAGTTTCAGCCAACTGACAGCGTTGGTGGAGCAGGTGGAAGTCATTTCAGAAAATGAACTCACCTATTTATATTTCCTTCTGAATCACAAGTTGAATGTTTTGACGGCCTTTTGCAAATTACAAATGACTGGTTATTAGTTGAACTGCCCTGCATGGATTGATGTGATGATTGCACTTGCAACAGTGTTTCAGAAAAATGTGCTTAAGCATCTGAAAAGAAAATTGTGTCCAATAATTCAAAGGCTCTGGAAAAGTGTTATAGAAGAAAATGACAAAATAATAAAGTAGATGTCCCCGTTGATCCATTGTTGTTTTTGTTCTGTAGCTTAAGAGATATATGGCACAGATCAGAGGTATATAGTGCAGATACTTTTATTGATCAAAAAGAAAATGATAACTGTGAACTGGAAGGATGCAAAACCATAACTCAGCGGGTGCAGAGACTGAATCAGAAGGACCATCAAAAATGCTATCATGTTGTTTTTCTGTAACTCACCCTGCTCTGCTGCGAATGCTTTTTGTAAATGTATCTTCCTTTCTTTCTAGGTATTATTGTTTACTATCTTATGTCAGGGAATGTTCTATATGGCTGAATAATACAAATGTAATTAAAAGTTTCATAAAAAATATCCGTGCTCTGTTGCTATTTTTGAAATATATAAATGCTCCCATTGCTCGTTGGAAATGAATTTAGCTAGACCTTTTGGTTTAATATATAGCCCTCAGAATAGGAAATCAATGTGTTATTTAAATAAATCATCCACAGGTGATAAACGCTGATATTCAATGCTACAAAAACATGTTTGTTCACTAAGTGCTTCTTTGTGCTGACTCTGAACTGTGACAACTAGAGGTCAAAAGTTAGGAAAATGTTGTTTGGAGGTTTTTGGTGCTCTTCCATCTAGTAACCCTATGGACATATTACCGTCCTGATCCCACCATGGAGCAGCTTCTATGCATGGCCTTGAAGCCTGTCTTTTTAGAAGAGATAACAAAGTATTTTATATTTGTTGCTGAAATGCAACATAGAAAAAGTTGAACCGCGTCCTTGAAAAAGATTTGATGTTGAACACAGTGAGCAAAAATAACTCGAGTCCTAGTCCCATTCTTTTCCATTAGAAAACAAGGATGATCATGATAAGAAGAGCGACATCAACTCACTGCTGGAAGGGGATGAAATGCTGCTTGTCCTCATCGTCTGTTTTGCCATGGGCGACGTCTGTAACATCCATCACTGCAGTGACAAAGGGAGCTCAGTTAGTGCTGTAAAGTAACGGAGTACATTTCATCAAGTACTGTACTTTAAAACAATTCAGATGTACTTATACTTTATTTGAGTACTCCCTTTTTATGTTACATTATGCTTCTACTCCACTAGAGTACTGTACATTTCACGTCTTAATTTTTTCCATAAATGGATATACTACTAACTTCACATATTTAAATGATTCATATAAATATCAAGAACATTTAAACTATTTTTATAGAATAATCAATTTAAAGCTATCCAAATATTTTTCAGCTGCAACATTAAAGGTGGGGTTGGTAATTTTGGAGAAGCCAGCTCGAGTGCGCTAGAATTTGAAAATACACAGCCGGAAGAAATCTGCTACTTCCTTACAGAGCCCCTCCTCCAACACACACGAACGCGCACATGACCAATGAGGGCACGAGATAAGTTTGTGCACAGATGGAAGGCTGACAGGCAGGTAGGCCATCCAGTTATTTTAGCCGGGCCGGCTAAAATGATTGGTCGTGCTTTTTACAGTACTACAGCTTCCACAGATGACATTTTTTAATGGATTTTTTGTCAAAGCACTGAAGATATTCATTGCTATCGGGATGTTAAGAGCATTCCATGGAATATAACAAAAAGTGTATCTCGAGCCGGTATCTCAAACTTACCTACCCCACCTTTAACATATAAATCTATCAAATTAAAGATTATGATGCACTAATATAATGGGCCATTCTGCATGATGGGTACTTTTTGTACTTTAAGTCAATTCAGATTCTATCTATTGTATCCATTTACTTGAGTAAAGTTTTTAATATAGTGCTTCTATCAAAGTATTTATAATAACTGTAGCTATGTACGTATGACTAATAAAAGCCTTGAACCTTGAACTTCTCCTGCCATAAATCACAGTAGGGCAGCAGATAAGGATAAATTAATATACCAGGTGCAATGCCGTTTTTTTGTTATTTCAAAACAGAACCTAGTTTTAGTTCTAAAAAGGAACATTTATTCACTTTAACTCTTCTAAAAGCAGGATTGGAGCAAGGCGTTGGATCTGACTCACCTGTTGCCTGGCTCGGCACACAGCCAGCATAAAGTAGTAAAACAGAATGAGAGCTCTTGATCTGCAGTTTGCAAATGCCTCTGAATGGTTCATTCCACCTGGCTCTTTCCCTTAAGTGATTTTTGTTTTTCCTGGCTAAGAAAAATGAATGAAACGTTCTTTCTGACTCTGGTTTCAGTCCATTTGCTGGAACAGCCGAGCAAATCCGTCCTCATCAAACCCACTAATCATCTGGCCAAAACAAAAAGACGGGTGCTAAACCAATTTGCACCCACGTGTATTGCCAAGGCGGAGTGGAGGCATTTTCTAGGTCAGGAAGCAGGTGTTCCCATTTCATTCAGCACAAGGATCCTTCATTTTTACAACTCAACGGAACCATTCATGCAAATATTGCACCAGAAAGGAGAGGAATTTTCTTTGTTGAGTTCTGGGACTTTGTTATTGCCAAAACAAATATTAGGAAGTTTGAAAAGCAGCTCACCAGCTACACCAAAGGGCCTTCTCAGTCCTCCTGTGTGTTTCTTGCCCTCTTTGAGCTCCATGCTGCCCACTCTTATGATCTGACACACGAGGAAGAGGCGCTGTCGCATCAAGTCACTGCTGCTCAGGTCCTGCACACAAAGGAAGACAAATAAAGAGGATTGTTTTATGGTGTATTAAGTGATGAGGTGCATTACATACAAAATTAAGTTGACTCTACGTAACTCTAGCCTGTTATTTTGTTCATGCAGACCAGATGGCAAATATTACAGAATAAAAGCATGCAGTAAAACCCTCAAACATATCGCTTCCCAGATTCTCTATGTGTTTGTTTTCCTGGAGGCGCTTCAAGACGAAGGTGTCTTGACATGTGTGCTTTGAGGAAGTAAATATTTGATTAATTTTCAGCTCGTTGCCTTGATGAATGTGGTTTGATCACATTAAAAAGACACAATTTCATGCAGGTTAGCAGGAAACTGGGACTGTGTCATTAACATAAACAGCGGTGAAATAATGGAGGCAAATGTATTCAAATTGTCAGAGATGTGGCGTGAATGTGAGCCATTCAGTGCAACTTTCAGCAAATTAAGAGCGACCCAGGAGCAAATTGGCTTCTTTGTCACAGATTTCAGGCCGCGTCAGGATTGTTTAAATCCGATGCAGAGGGAATACAGGCGGTGGGCTGGGATTCACTCACCGTGAATAGCGCTGGCAGGTTGTTGAGTTTTTCAATTTCTTTAGGCATCCCCGTACTATCCCAGCGCACCAGGAAGTTCTCACTGCAGGAATTTCAATAAGAATCACAGTTAGAGATCACATTATCTAAAAGGCATCAGGAGAAATAGAAAATAACTGATGTGAAAAAAAAAAACTTTGCATCACTTTATCTGTCTCAGCAGATACAATCCAAGAGATGATTACATATTTGGAATAGCAACAATGTGAGACCACTATTGAACCACATAGACATTTCTCATAGCAGGCATTCTGAGGCAAATGGTAAAGGCAGAAATGCATTGCTTGCGGGCATTACTAAAGAGGGAACACATCCATTATTAATGCATTTAGTTACACCTGCGATTTTCCTGCAATGAGTCAAAATGTCTGCTGTAATAAAGGTCTAATGTCGTCCCCTCGCTCTGTCCGGAGGAGCAGAGGTCAGAGTCGTCGGCAGAAACATCCCCGAGCAGCCGAGGAGTGTTTCTAGCTTTTATTTTTATAGTCTCCATTATTAATGCTGCCACTATTTTTGACAAGCTTAGAATAGTTATTTTTCTTCACCAGCATGTTGAAGAAGCAGCGGTTTCATGGCCCCTGAAACTAGTCGCTTCCAGCCTAGAGCTCTCATTTCTCATCAGAGCTTTGCAGAGTTATATGACAATAATACACAACCTCAAGCCATTATTGTTATTTCACACAAACTTAGCATAACTAATTATATTTATTTTCTTCACTTGGTTACTTTTGCCACAATAAACATCAACGTAGAAGCACTATTTTTCTTCTGTATTGATGATTTAATGATGTGTCCAACTTGTTAGATACATAAAATCTCCTACTCACCTACAAAGCCCTCCACCCCCTGGCCCCTACCTCTCTCACAGATCTCCTTCAGGAGTACACCCCCTCTCGTTCCCACCGCTTAACCTCAGCTAGTATATCTACCATCCCCTGATTCACACCTCACCACTGTGGGGGCTTGGTATTTTAGCTGCACTGCGCCCAAGCTCTGGAAGTCTTCCCACTTCACATCCAAGAGTCTGACACCCGTACAAATCCCTCCTTAAAACTCACCTCTTCAAATTGGCCTTCTCACTTTAGTCATCCGGCTTGTTATCAATGCTACTCCCTTTCCACGATACATGCCTGATTTTAAATGTCTCTTTTTGTGTCTGCCCTGTCTGTATTTTATATGTTGCTGTATTTACTTGAGTATGTCTTTTATGCATTGTAAGGTATCCTGAGGTGTATGGAAAGGTGCCTCCAAATAAAATGTATTATTAAATAAAATAGTGTCACGTTAAGATACATTTTTTATTTTGTTTGTATCGTGCTTGATACATACTGTATTTCTTTACTATGTCAAATACCAGTTCAATGAACTAAAATTGACAAATCAAGCGTAATACTGAAATTAGTTGTAAATTAAAGTGTGGAGCTAACCTGATGAATTCAGACTGGTCGGGGTCGTACAGAGACATTAGCAGCTCAGCATCCTCTCCAATGTTGCATACAAAGTTCTTCAGGTTCATGAGTAGACTGTAGGTGTGCACAGTACTGAAAAGGGTCTGACGCCTCATCTCCAGGTTTTGTAGCCGCGTCTGCAGAAAAACAGAGCCCCAGGCAGTGCATGGACACAGATATTATTTTAAAAATTGACAGCTACTATGGGAATAAAAAGTGTCTGAAAGTGTGAACAAATCAAAATCATGCCTTCTCTTCTAGTATCCTGTCATCCACACTGCGGGAGGCGGTCTCGTGTGCCCGGAACAGACTGACCGTGCTGGTCCAGTCCGGATCCAGAGTGTTTCCTGCTTCATCTCGCACCACCAGGTCCAACCCCAGAATCCTTAAAGCACAGAGGATCAAACACTTTAATTTAAAATCGACAATCTTGGAGCTATGGCTCAGGGTAATAAAACATTACAATGGTGTTTATGCTGCAAGGCAATTTGTTGCAGTACAATAAGGCAGCAGGACTCATACCGGTTTCCGTAATCAATCTTAGCTGTGACTTTCTTTCTGAGCTCCACAAGGTCATCCTTAGGCAGCGTTCCTGACACTATCTGAGATCGATATTCGATGAGGCTGTACGCCATCTGCGTAACACTCCTGAATGGTTTTGTCTTGTTCGCCTGTCAAATAAAGATGTACACACTAATAACAAAACATTCTACAGAGGTGTGAAATAAAATGTCTCACAGTAGTGTGAATCCGAGTAGGAGACACTTGTGTGTGTGTGTGTGTAGTCGAAACAGAGACGTTGATTTACACTCACCATGTAGAGCTTGTGCCATATCTGTGCCCATTCTCTCAGAGTAGCCCCGAGCTCCTGCACCAGGGGCAAATCGGCTGGAGTAATTATTTCCTGCTGGCTACCAGCCACAAGGAGAGAATAATAAGATATTGGAAAAGTGGCTCATCACTCACAGATCATGTCACATCATTTGGACAGACTCAAGTGCATGTATTTACATGATAAATAGTGGGATGGTTTCCCCTCCACAGCCAAGAAAAGCATTACTGAATCCTTACTTATTGTAATTACAAGGGCACTGCTAGTATATGTTAGTGGCTAATGACAAGGCAGGGTGGCAAACCAAAATCAAAGTGGATTATCATCACGCTGATATGTTTACTGATATGTGCTCTCACCCTGTTCCCTCAACCGTAGCGTCCTTTAAGTGGATGTAGGAAGCTGGGAAAATGCCCTGAGGAAGCAATGAGGTAAATCAGTAAATATACATCACAGCATTAGTTAGATGATAATAGAGTGCTAATGACTCATTTACCTTATGCGATTTCTTGCGTAGTGTGTAACCCCTATACCAGCCTGAGGAAATATGAATTAACAGAGAAACATGTTACAGAGAGGGATAGGCTGTGGACAAGACAGTGATGTGAGTGATGACAGTCCACCCTGTCTGGAGGACGGACGATGTAGTAGTCTCATTTGCATTATTATGCATAGCATATCGAGCGGTGGTTTGTTCAACATTTTTCTAAGTTCCTGTGTCAGCTTGCTTCAGTGAAGGAAAAGAGGGATGTGTCAGGGCTTGTTGTGCGTTGAGGCTCGCTCACCTTCCAATTTCTCAAGTATGTGCACCGTGTCCCCCACCTGCAGACACAGCTCCAGCTCACCACTCGCCTCATAGTTGTAGATTGCTGAAGGACAAAAAAGGGCTGTCTCATTATTGGAAACACGCACAACATTCAATACATACTGTTAACAAAGACAAGTTTTAAGCCGACAGTTTGATAAGTTTTGTTCCCGCTCCAGGTCCAGTGGATTAAGAAAAAGCCCAAATCCCCTTTCAATCACTCAGGAAAAGGCCTGTTCTTAAAAAAAGTTCTGGTTCAGAGGATTGCAGTTTCTTCCAGGAAAATAAGCAATTCTTGTCGCAGACTTGCATGCAGAGAGGATCTTGATCTTTGATTTATTCCTCATCTTACTGCTCTTTGTAACAGCAGACTGTGGTTCAGGGTCCCTGGGCAAGACACTTCACCCCAAAATGCTCCTGTGGGGATTGTCCACAGTACTGAATAAGTCGCTTTGGATAAAAGCGTCTAACAAATGACATGTAATGTAATGTAATGTATGCTTGTGCAGCCAGCCTGCATGACTCAAACCGTTAAAGTCTTTTGACAATTCTTAATTGAAACAGATGCCCTGAGGCAGTGTTTAACGTTCCAGTGGACTGTGCCGGAGCAGGTAGCTTCAGAGAGAGAGAAAGAAAAGGAGGGGAGCTAAAAAGGGCGATGGCATTACATCCTCTTTATTTCTGATATCACGCTAGCCTTTGGTCAATAGTTACACTCTGCAGGTCATGCTTCTGCAAACTGGCTCACCTGCTAGCCCTGCCCTTCTCTTTACTCAGTTTATTAACATTTCCTGGAGGCGACTCCTTAATCTTACCAGGACACGGATGGGAGGGATCACACCAGAATACGTCTGCGCACACAGACACACACTTAACCAACGAGAAGTTGCAAAAGAGAAACCTTGGCAAACAATACTGTAGCAAAGGTCTTTGTCAAGACTTGAGGGAGCCACAATAGTGAGCAACCAATCTCATAGTGATAGAGGAACTATAAGCAGAGAGCTATGTCCTGACTTGCATGGTGATAATGCTTGTTGCTCCAGGCTAGATTTCCCAGCACGCTTCAACTGGCTTGGCTTATCACAACTCAGTCTGAATACCAAAACTTGACAAAATACTGAAGGCGGTTGTACCCTTCTCTCTCCATGACATGATAGCTTTCCAAAACGCACATTTGCCCAGACAGAATCTCCACATGGAATCAGGTTATGACTGCGTCAGTATAGACAGCCTATTTTAAATGTAAGGTTAAACCCATGCCTGCTGTACTGATGTAAGGATATCACCAGCACAGGTACAAGTGAATGATGCCTTAGTCAGATATCCCTCACAAATACTGAAACTTAGAACCGGTCAGAAACACTTACCTCTGACGCCTTTCTTACCTTCTTTTTCCCACAAAAACATACATTGCCTAACATACCCGTTTATGTATGTGTTATATTGTGAACATCAAGTTCAAGTCTTTAGAGCAAACAACGTATCATACTATATCATTATTTTAAGTTGAATTAACATGAAAATGAATTATATTTTGCTATCACTTGCTGGTAGTTTCACTATTTGCATATTTCTAAAGTGATTAAGGTAGTTAAAATTACTTGTTTTGCCATTTTGTGTAGTTTCTTTTACACAATCTGCATACAAGTTTTGGCCGTTAAAGCAAAGGAAAGATTTTTTAAATTTGCCGTTTTTACCAACCTCGCCCCTTTTTATTTCAATGCATTTGTTGGGCAGCCCCCACTGTTGGGTAAGAGCATTGAGAAACCGCTCTTGTACTGAATCAATAAGAGATTCTGCTATGACAAGTAAAAATATATGCCCAAGATTGTACATGTCAGATGTTTCAAAACTGACGAGTACGAACATAGGCACATTTTTTGACCACAGCTCAAATCTGTCAAATGGTATAAAAAGTAAAAAATGTCTATAGTGCTTTTTTTTTTGCTTTATGAATGACCTGTGTATAACTCAATGAACTCACTTGTGGCCTTTTTTTTCGCATGTGACTTTTATATTATATTTTGTTAATCATTCATGTATATTGTCAATGTTAACCGCTTCAAACTAAGATATTTGAACTACTTTTACTTTGCTTTGGTTAACCAAGCTAGTTTTCTCATTAGGGTAACATTGCTGGTTTTTTACTTTTTCCAATGTAAAATTATTTGTAGCTGGCAAACCTATATTTTCAACTACAATGGTTATTTGTATTTAAAAAGAAGAAACTGACACGCTGTGAATTATCTTTGAAAAAAGGATTTGTTGTCACAGGGGAAATATTTGTGCAGCCAGAACAATATTGAATAAAACGAGCACTGAAGAAATGACATCTGCCTCTGGTGATGCCGGGAGTCACAATGGTCCATTCACCATCTTGACAGTGTCCGGGCCTGGCAACAGTGGGTAAAATGCCATTGGCAGGCAACCGGCTGAGCGTGTTGTGATGCCACACTGTCTGCACTAAAGGCAACAGTCTGAACACTGGCAGCACAACTCATCAGCTCTGAGACCCACTATCATCCTCTTGAACTTAAAACACTGAGCCTGAAGCCATTGTAGTAAATTCCAATAAAGCCTTAATCTGAGTAGGTTCAAGTTTATAAGCATACTAATGTTAAATCAAAGCGAGGCTGATTCAATCTTAATGATTTATCAAGGAAGTGGATTAGCCAACAATTAAAGAACACTACAGCTGAACAGTTTGAGCCGCAGCTGGCAGCCCATCACAGCTAACACATTTCAATAAGAATCCATTGTTCTCTTCACTGACTGGGTGTGAAGGAAAACATAAACAACTACTCCGAGTTATGGCCGTGATAACACACATGCAAACAATATGACGCAAGATAGATGAGCCTAGCAACCAATCCTTGAACATACAGACATTACTGCTCCACTGAGTTCATACAGATCCTCAGCATGAAAATCCCTCCATCAAATACATGAAAGAAATGAAACGATAAAGCCAGAAATGGGGAAGACATAAACGTTGCCATGCTAAACAAACGGACTCTGATTCCACAAAAATAACAACCATCATATTTACTTGTACAGTAGAGTTGTAAGCAAACATTGTACCAAACTATTAAAATTGTATTATTTTATAGGGCTGCAACATACATTTTATTTTCATTATAGATCAATCCGATTCTCAATTTGTTGTGATATAAAACAGAAAAAAGCAAGTCTCCATATTGGAAAATAAATATATATAAAATATGGATGCATTTTATGAGAAAACATTTCTTCATGAAAGATTACTTATTACTTATATTTTGCGATTAGTTTTTTAAAACGCAATTACTACGACTAATTGCTTAAAATCAATGAAAGTGGAATTAGAATAAAATGGTATTCTAATAAACTTGAAAAGGTCTTTTAGGTAGCTACTATTATGTGATGTATCATATCTCTTTTAAAACCTGAATTCAAACATATATATTTCAAATGCTTTGGAAGAAGCGAGAGGTACAGTATATTTCCAAAAACTAATTAGGTAAAAGCAAGTCTATTAAAGTTTGTCTTTGAGCCAGTTCTCCTCAGGAGAAACCTTTCAAAATAAAGGCCTTGCCTTCGATCTATACCGTCTAGACACTCTGAGACAATCTGTAGCTCCAGCTAATAAGTCCTTGTAAGTTATCCATAAATCAGAAAGTTAATTTTCAACTTCAAATCTAATAGTGCAAACGAGGAATTAGACCACTTATGGGCTCATTTTTTTTTAATTCTGGTAAAAACTCTGCTACAAAGAAAATTACAATTGCCTTTTCTGAAGGAGAAAGAAACTACAAGGTCTTTCTACAGGTTCATTAAGAACTACTCCAAACTTATGTCCGAGTTTTGAAAGTCATGACTGACCATCCAATAATCTGGTCAGTCCATCAAAACTGAGAACAAGGTCAACACTTATCTTAACGGCTGGTATCAGACCTATGGCGCCATCAACAGCTTTAGATTTGCTTTGCTAATAAGACACAGACACCCACAAAGCAGAAGACACCGGCAGAGCAAACCATTTTAAGCCCTCATCAAATTAAGGACACATATTTATTGTTGTTTATTGCATAAAATTACAAAGTGGAAGTTTTGGATGAGCACTTGAAAATCTTTTTCACACGCCCACAGTGAGGGCAAGAATAAGTCAGCCTTTATGAATGCTTATTGTTACCTAACTTTGTTTGTTTGAGTTTTATTGTGCAGAAACTACAAGGCCGTTTACATTCATCTGTGCCTGCCTTATATCTGATGTGCTGTTTACACAGGAACGAAACGGGTTGTATCCGCTACTTTTCTCTTTCGTATAGCCCGTTCGTTCACACGAGGCCGCAACGGAACCGCGGAAACGGACCCCGCAAACGATAACAGGTCCCAAGGTGAATAGATCTGCGGACGGAACGCTCTGGGGGGGCAAACGGCTCCGTGTGTACGTCCTATACGATTATTTCCTGATAACAATGAAGCCATAGCCCCATCTCTCCCCACCTCTGCTGCTCACTGCTGTAGCATGGTCAGTAGCTACTGCTAGTAATTACTGACCATGCTACAGATGTTAGTGCACAATCTACACCTCCTCTACCACAACCACAACCATCAGCAACAAGTGGACATGGAGAACTACATGAATTACATGTTGCTAAATCCACCGCAGAGAATAAACAGAAGGGCAACCATGGCAACCATGCTCGGGGGTCTTCTTCGCTGCTTTTGGTGTATTTTGTGGCGGAAGTACAGCGCCACTTACAGGCCCGGCATATGTACTACAGCGTCTCCAGCGGGTCGAGCAGTCTCGTGTGAAGGGACACGTTTATTGAGCCGTATCCGTGTGAACGGAAGACTTTTTTGATATCGAATTCGGTTTGTTTGCGTTCCTGTGTAAATGGGGTCTGAGTTCACACAGTTTACATACGCACACGACTTAGAACACCACAACTTGTTTGCAAGTCCATCATGGTCAATTATGCAACTTATTCAATGCAGATATACTCAACATCTCACATCGGGCTTAAAACAAAACACATTTACATAATCAGCATAGGACTTTACAAACTTAAGTTGTTTTATTCTGTTAATTTACTATTTTACTGGATTTGTGTTGTGGACAAACACAATCAGAAACATATTATTATTCATGACTCAGCATTTCAAAATATATATAAACCTTTTAAAAGGGGGTATTTGAAGTATACATATATAGCAATGTAGTGTTATAAAATTGTATAGGTTTTCCCGAGATTCCAGATTTGTTACATTTTAAAGAACAGATAATATGCTTATATTTAGATTGATATCTGTATGGGGTTGTAGAAAATGTTAGCCTGCTTTACTGTTCGAAAAAAAAACCTCCTGAAAAAACCCAGTCTGCTTTCATCAGTTTTTTCCGGGTCTTCCCTGTCACAGCGTCTCTTGCAAACGTTTAAAAACACAGTTCCTGAATACAAGCTTTGTGTGTTACTCTGAGGATTTAGCACTTAGCTAATTTCACATTATTGATTAAAGCACTTAGACCTTCTTTAATATAAAATACATCAATATCAAAAATGTTTACAATATGGGATCTTTAAAAACGAAAAGATGTCGCCTTTTTAATTCTACAGATGCTTCTTCCTTGTTGAAACCTGTTGCCTACATTACCCACCATTCAACCTAATGCAACTCATACAGCATGCAGCATACCACATCAGCGTTAAGCAACACCTGTCAACATACTTTGTTGTGCAAAATCAGTTCCCCTTTAACTTCCTGAATAACTGTCAAAAATGTATAATGTTTTTAATACAGACTGTCAATACTAATGGCCAACTTCATATGGGTTTGGTTCAAAATCAAGCACTGCCTTGAAATCTTATATAGCCTTTTGATTTCATTGTGGATGCAAATTATGTGAAAATAGACATGCAGTATATTTAACTAAAATGTTCCCTACCTTGTGATTTCAATGATTTATTTGAGTCTCTAGTACAGCGCTTCTCTTCGGGATATATAAAAAGGGAAAGCTATCCTCTTGTGATGGTGACACAAATTAGCTTGTGATATCTTAAGCCCCACATTATCCACATTTCCCTTTTAGCTAGTATGATATAATTGCTATTATCAGAAACCTGGCAACTCCTTTTTCTACTGAAAATGTAGTTGCCTGGATCTGGGCAAAGCTTGGGATGCAATCGGATTAAAAAAGTAGGACCTTGTGCAGGGTCCGATAACATTTTAAGGATTAAGTACAGTTGTGGTGACACCTGCCCCGTTTCTGGGGCGGTTGGCAGGAGAATGGCACCATCTACACAATCAAGCAGAGCAACACTTTTTAACACATTACTGAAAGGATTTACACACAAAATCACCTGCTAAAAAAAAGTATGTTATAATCATTTTTATCACAACAGCAACAGAGGACACAATACATCCTTTAAAGATAAAGTCGGTAACAGAATTCAGGCTAAAGCAAGATATTCTTAATAGGCTCTGGTTCACACATATTCCATTAGGACTAGGTATTCACACAAGGTTGCTCCTCTTGCGTAACACATCTGCTTCCCAACAGGAAACACTGTCTGTAAAAGTGTCTGTAGCGCAGATTTAGCGGTGAGTCAGTACGGTAACCAATGACCGGCCAACCTGTGCTGACAATAAAGTCATTACAGTAAACCTGGAAGGAATTTCACATGAAGGCTACAAGTTGTGCTCATTTGCCCTGAGGGCGTGGAGGTCTACCTGATAGCATGAACGTGCATGCACAGTTAGCCCACAAACACACATTTATAAATGTGACAGTGCCACACCTTATTGCAAACCACTAAAAAAACATTTTCAAAGTTGAAAGGAACACAAAAAGTGTTTTAATAGCATCAAAAGAAAATCACAGTTGTGCCCCATAAGCATAGGTAGAAAACTTAGATTTTTGAGTTAACCTGAATTCACAAAAGGTACTAAAGTAGAAAGACAGAAGTATTATCCGCTAAGTGTAGCCTACTTGAAGCGTACAAAGTAACTAATGCAGAAAGGCTATTTTCACCACATTATCTTATAATTATAAGAGGATTGTGGAATCCCCAACAAATACACGTAGGAGCATTTTAATGTTGTAGTTTGTCAATATGTAGATACTTTTAGATACTGGGTTGATAAGTAGTACAGTATCATAAGCATAACATGCGTTTATGGATGTAAACGCTATCTAGTACATTTCGCCTCGGAAATGTCATGGGGTACAAGTTTAAAGAAGCATACAATGGAAATACTCAAGTAAAGAACAATAATGTCAAAATAGGCTCATGGTACTTAGATACGTTCCACCACTTCCCAAAGTGTTAAGCTACACTGACAAACCTAATGTCTATACAAATTCTCTCCTGTTATCTGACATGCATACAGTCACAGCAGTGGCTCCCATGTGGGACCCTCCAGGAGTCCTTCGGGGGGCTTCTAGGGACTTAACAGCAACATGAGGATTTATTCAAGTTCACAGCTACTTCCACAAGTCAGCTCAGCGAAGTTAGGTACAAGAATGACTGGTATGCTCATTGAACTCTTGGCTCTTTTCCATTTTTCCTCACCACCTATTATGGACACTTGGTCATTTCTTACTACAACCAAATACCTTGACTCGCCAGGACAACAAGGAGGGCAACTCACAAACTATGTAATAAAAAGTACCCAAAACCCCTCCGGGCTACGGTGTCGCTACGCACCATGTACCGCCAATAACAACAAAACCCTACGTGTGTTTCTCAACTTCAGACTCCCCTTTCCCGTGAAGTTTAGTTGGGAGTTCACTCGGTGAGCTTGTAACTCGCAAAACACGCGAAGCTGCTTTTGAAAACTTACCGACTCCGTACTTCTCTTTTTTAGTAGGAATCCAACGGGTCATGTCGGGGGAGGATGTGAAGTTGTCTGAATAAATAAATAACTATATACAATTGCCAAACGCGGACGGGCGGTGCACTCCTGCTCGTCCTGAGCTCTACAGTTCCGCCATCATGACTTGTAAACGGGGAGGGGAGAGTCCGAGAGGGGGGGAGGCGTGAACCATGGAGCTCTCAAAACTACCCCCACAACAACAACACACCGCGGTGGAATGTAAGTACATTTATTCTGTGGTACTCAGATCCTTTACTTAAATACACTTTACTAATACCACAGTTTTAGAAATAAAAGTTCTGCATTGAAAATGTTACTCAAGAAAAAGTAAGTAGAGGCTGTAAAAAGACCCAATTCAGAAAAAAGAAATAAAAAACACCCAGAAAATAAAAAAGACAATTACTTCAATGTTTATCAAGCCAATTGATTCTCTATCAATCTTTCAAAAGCTGTTAAAAGCTGGCTAGTTTCATTTGTAACAAAACATCTTATTGAGTACTCGTGGATACATTTCATAAACTCTTGTTGTTGTTTTTTTTTAAATGTGTAAAGTCACTAGTAACTAAAGCCATAAGATAATTGTAGCCAAGTAAAAACTACAACATTTTTAGTGGAGTAAAGAAAATGATCAAGTTAAGTAAAACCCCCTGAAATTGCACATACTTCAGTAAATATAGCCTACTTATTTACAGTCTACCACTGCATTTTCTTTATTTATAAGTACTGTACTTAAAATGTTGAAGTGCTTATTTTAGGCCTACTAAGGCCATTATATCGAGTTTATATTGTGAGATTAGACAGCATGGTCCTACATGTTAGTAATGCCCCAATGGTGTCTTTTCTTTTCAATGGTGTATTTTAAACTCCATAATAGTTATTGAATATCATTTTCTGAACTCACTGCACTGTTCATTGTGTTGTATTATTTGCTTGCATGTCAGCATTATTCAACACAAATGTCATATTTGTTCATATTTAGTGAAAGCACCAATAGTCACCCCTAGAAAAATATTAGCAATACTGATTTTGAGGTATTTGATAAAAGAAATTGTGAATTGTCACTAAGCTCTAATTGTTTGAGTACTTCTTTTTATTGGTACCTTATCCTTTTTCTTTACTTTTGTTTTGAGTCAAAAATTGTGTTTTTATTTACTTCAAATATTTGCTAACTTAAGTTTCTTTCGCATCTGTCGCTACTTTTGCATTAAAAAATGTCTTAGTACTTCATCCACCACTGCACATCAATCAGTGGATATTCTGCAGCCATTCCGCATAAATCTTCAAATAAACAAAAATTAAATTGAGGGAAATTATAATGAGACTGACCCGTCTGTCCCTCATTTTGCTTCAAGGACTCCTGATGCTGTCGGCTCTCCACTTTTAGAGCTACTAGCTGGCACACAATTTGACAATTTACAGAGGAGAATAATTAATTAAAACCAGAGTTATAAATCACTGATGTGTCATAAATAAGTTATCGCCAGGTTATTGTTTTAATTTAAAATTAGATTGAATCGCAAACTCCATACCGCTGCTCACATTACTCGCTCGACAGGTTTGTATTCTGATTGAGCATTAATGAACAAGACCTGGAACATAAATAATGATCATATAATCACAAAAGGCTATATTTGAAGTTGCTGTGCATACTATAATTGTTTAGAAACCAAATGGAACTAAGACCAAAGCAATTGTAAACTTGTCTATCAGTGAGACTATACTGAATTCAATTACATTTCATTTCAAACCAGCCATGTATCAGAAATAACGCCCACCTTCCTGCACAGTGAAGTAATTTACAGCTGTTGGCTGAGATCTGGTAGTCCACTTAGCCTTTTGTTTGCCCCATCATGTGTGTGTGTGTGTGTGTGTGTGTGTGTGTGTGTGTGTGTGTGTGTGTGTGTGTGTGTGTGTGTGTGTGTGTGTGTGTGTGTGTGTGTGTGTGTGTGTGTGTGTGTGTGTGTGTGTGTGTGTGTGTGTGTGTGTGTGTGTGTGTGTGTGTGTGTGTGTGTTTCTTCTGTCACTGGTCAGCCAAATGGTGCTGTCAATAATGTTCAGCCATCCAATGCTTTTGTTGTTCCCTGCGGCAGGGTGATGTCCATGTTTGTTTTTTCCCTCAGCTATAGTGAGCTTTAAAACCAATCTTGTGGTGAATTAGTAATACCGCAATACAACACAGGCTGAAACCTGTTATTGAATCTCATTATTTATAAATCATAGCTATTTAAAAAAAGAACACCATACAGCAATGTGAGAGACGTTTATCTGGCGGAACTGTAATCAATGCAGACATTTTAAAAAGACGTTGCCTTAAGTTAATTACATTTTTGAATTGTTGCCTTCTTTCACCACATATAATTATAGTGTAACACATATGGATTATGTGATGTTTTTAACACCTTAAACAGCTTAAGGATTCAAACACATTCACCGAGCTCATCCTGAAAATGTGCTACTAAAAATGTATTTTGCAGCCATTTGTAGAATTTCCAAGGTTATGGCTTGAGCTTTTACACATGAATAGTGTGACCTATTTCGGTTTGAGCTGTAGGTGCCTGCTGTTTGGGCTTTTACATTTATTGAAAGGGGGGCTTCAAATAAGCTCATGCCCTTTTCAACAATCATTCTCTTTATTCGTTTGGCAAACTCTCTCACACTTATTATCAAATGTGAGGAGTTGCTTTTGGTCTTTTAAAAGTTTAAAACAATCAAATCTGCAAAAAGGAATACAATATTGCCATCACCTGACTGCTGTGTGCTATTGCATACAATAGACCTTCCCTTGTAAAACCCCAAGAATGTGTTGCACTTTGTTGTGGCATGTAATTAAAAAAATATTTTGTTACCTTTGCTTAACTTTTCCCCATTAGAATCGTTAAGAATAAATCATTAAATTCAGATGGTGTGTGTTAGTACGTGCATGCCTCGCATTAATGTGTGTGACAGTTTGACAAGCAGAGTTGAACTCTGGAGTTCACCCTGAGTTGAAGGCTCCATTAGCAATAGGACCAGACAGGCTGAATCTTCACAGGAGATTCCCACTTCCCCTTCTCTTCTAATTCAGATCAGATTGTATCTCAGACATCCTTCCATTAAAACTCGCTGAATAGGTGCATCTTTGACCTAGTCATTTCATCTTGTGCAAATGTGCAAGGTAAACATGAACACTTTCACATGTGTATACAGAGGCTGAACATAAAGACTGAAAGCTTTTACTTCGTTCTGCATGAAAGTAAAGAAGTGTTGTGTTAAGAGTGGGCTGTAGTTATTGTAGATAAAAATAGAGATGAAGCTACTGTCTGTTTACTTCGCCTAAGGGCTTTTCTTGTGTGTCACCCAACAGACACATAATGAATGAACATTTAGCATGACAGACAGCTGAAATGATAATAAATATGCTTCCTATTCACCATCCACCTTCCTACACTCTGGAGCATTTTTGTTTGTGCGAGTTACATGCTCCAGTGCACATGCCTGTGTTCTTTTTACTATAATGGGATGCAAAAAAATGTAGCTCGTTAAGCATGCATATGTATTAAATGTATCATTTGAATAGATCTTGACCTGACTTGACTTCAGAGTTATTCAGTCGGGGACAACACCAAACTCTGTGAACTAAGATGTCTACAATGTAAGGAACTACATTGCTCCTGAGACAAGTGAGTGGTAGGGATCTGAACACCTCTCATAGCACCCCCCACTAAGGTGGTTCAATTATTGAGACAAAAGCAGACAAAGGGCCTAATGGATTTATGGGTCTTCTGCCAGAACCGCATGACGCCAGAGGCAAATTGGGCCTCGGCATCTGGTCCTGCAAAGCTGAGCGGATAGGTCAATGCACTAGTCTCAACATCCTGGAGCAGAATTTGATTTGCAGTTGACTAATGGCTCAGGAATATCCACATTTCTTTCCTTTAACAGTTTGTTATATAAAATAATTGTTTCTTTAGCTTTTGCTGCATGAAATCAGATCCTGTATGTGCGTCAACGTTGTAACTGTAATGGTGGAAGCTGTCAATATTTCTATGTGCTAATATTGACACCTACATGAATTACTTATATAATATAAGCATGTAATATATTTTGATGCGAGACATTTTTGTGCACAGAAATGCAAAAACAAAATCATGACAGCAAGAAACATAGTGTTAAAGCGTGATCACAAAATCAGGCTACTGCAGGTAATTTAGATAAGCACATTTATTTGTATTATGTGTATAATTAACATCTCATTTCGAGATTGTGTTGCATGAGAAAGGACTTGCCTTGAGGCTCCCTCATTTATCTCCATCTGACTCAGTGATGCATTCTTTGTAGGCCTGTAGTGCACACATAAGGCCATCTGAAGCTATGTCTAAACCAAGAGAAGAGGGGATCTATTTTTAGAGTATGAGAGCCACATTTTTAAATGAAATAGTCTCAGTCTGCTATCTTCCAGGCCAAAGTGAAGGCTTGTTCAACAGAGCCTTTTAATTAGGCGATACTCCGAGATCAGCAGAGGGAGCCACAACTCTTATCTTAGGCTTTTTTTTTCTTTGTGAAGACAAAGCTGTCTGACAACTAAAAAGGCAGACTGCAGCGTGACCACCCTCTCTGTCTGGACCTTGGCCTGAGCAGCAGAGGAGTGTGCACACCCACCCAAAATGTTAAAAACATACTCAGGCTGACTCTCAAGGTGAAAGTATGATCCTTCCAAAGACGTGTATGGCATTTCTGCTGTGTTTTGTTCCCCCCTTTACTCATTAAAAAATGTAAATATATGTGTTTCTACTGCAGGTGCCTCCATCAATCTGGGATCACTACAGTGCAGCATTTCAGCTCAGCATCAAATCTGCTGTTACTTTACATAGTTCAAAAGCAAAAGAAAAATGTTGCTGCTTTAGTTTGCAGATTACATTTCTGACATTACAAAACAGTAAATTATTGTATTCTTCTTGTATTTCCTCATGAAATAAAATATGCTTGTGTTGTAACTGAAATCTGATATCACTTTCGTTATGAAGACAATGTTTCATGACTCTAGGACCAAGCCAGCCTTTCTTGTTTAGCTGTTAAATTATAGGAGCAGGTAAGTGGTACAAAGTCAGTTTTTCAATACCTGACAATGAACAATTGTAAGTGTCATATTTAGGGTTTAGAAATTATTA